CAACAGCACCATCAACAGCACCATCAACAGCACCACTCACCGGCTGCATCGAATGACTTGCACATGCCCTCTGGTGACAGCATTCCCAACTTATGAAACTGGAGTGCAGTCTGTGGCTTCAGGTTCAGGTTGACTCCACCGACTATAGCAGAGTCACACTGGCCGCTTCTAATAGCGGCTAAAGCATTGTCCACGGCGTACAGACTGGAGGAGCATGCAGTGTCGATCACATAACTAGGACCTGTATCAGCAACGCACGGACAACATACACTCTGTCACACAACGCGTTTACACATCTCTCATGTCGTCCCTAAATCTGTCTCTTCGATTGAAAGAGACGGAAAGGATTACAAAGAAGAAGAAGAAAAAGAAGAAGAAGAAGAAGAAGAAGAAGAAGAAGAAGAAGAAGAAGAAGAAGCAGAAGAAGAAGAAGAAGAAGAAGAAGAAGAAGAAGAAGTAGAATGAAGAATAAGAAGAAGAAGAAGAAGAAGAAGAAGAAGAAGAAGAAGAAGAAGAAGAAGAAGAAGACGAAGAAGAAGAAGAAGACGAAGAAGAAGAAGGTGAAAAAGAAGTAGAAAAAAGAATAAAATGATGATGATAATGATGGTAATGATGATGATGATGATGATGATGATGATGATGATGATGATGATGACGATGATAGTGATGATGATGATAAAAATGGAACCTGTATCATGTAGAAGTAAGTGACAGCTGAATCAGAATTGTTTCTTACCCTTGAAGTCAAAACAGAAGGAGAGTCTGTTTGGCACCATCGCCCTCTGGCAGCCAGTCATCGTGTATCCTGACACAGTCTCCGGATCCATGCTCCATGCATCACTGGCTTCGCTCCCTGACACGCCCACGAACACACCCGTCCTGCTGCCCCTCAGCTCCTGCGGGTTGTAACCTGCAACGTCAGAGATGTGAGCAAGTGCACGTGCAGCGTAGACAGACCTGTGTTCGATGAACTTTCTAAATTAATTAGAGAATGCTAGATCGAAGCATGCAAATAGTGAGACTTAGATGCGCTTCTATATATTATAGTGAGCAAAACATGAAAACATATGAGGCAGGCAAACGTCAAACAGGTAGAAGGTGATATGTATTTAGTAAAAGGATAAATAAAAACGATAACAAAATGTATAAAAAATAATCAATACCTGCATCAACGATAGCCTCATAAGTAACTTCCAGCAAAATTCTGCATTGTGGATCCATGCGTTCAGCTTGCTTTGGACTAATCCCAAAGAAGGCCGCATCAAACTTGGTAATGTCTTTCAGTTTTGCACTCCGTCTCGGCAATCCGTACAAACCTAAACAATTTACACCGTCATCCAGATTTACTCGCCGTCATTAAATGATCTCAATTCATCAAGCTGCGTGTGTTGTGTGTGTTGTGTTGTGTGTGTGTGTGTGTGTGT